TTTTTATATTTATTCTGACTTATTTCTCTTTTCCCAACACTTCTTGCCATCGCGCAATCGAACAGACCTCTACCTATAACGGAAGCTCTTCTAAAGTATCAATCGAACAGGCTGTAAGTGTTAAAATGACCAATGAAAATTCTGCCTATATTCATTTCTTTACTGTTAATGTTAGCGGAAGTCAAGGTGAAAAAGACGGCATTCGTGCCGAAAAAAACCCATGTACCATCAAGTCTAAATAAATAAAGATTTCAGACCGTGTACAGGGGCAGTTCAAGCCGTGGGATAGGGTCTGAGCCCCAAGGAAACGGGAGTTAGGGTCCAACTCCCAAGTGTTTGTTGATTGTTACACTGCATGACACTACTATGTACATACTTCAATTTAAGAAGGTCCTTATGAAAGTGTGGTTTCTTTTTCTTCATGTAGCAAATATTGGTAAAGTTATGCTTTTTGTTCTTCATGCATCAAGCATTACATAAATTATGCTGAAGAAATCGTGATAATAAAGCTGTTTAAATACATTGCTACTCGTTTTGCAAAGAAAAAATGAAAAAGAAAGATTGGTTTAATTAAAAATTAATATTCGAACCAGTTTAATATATATATAAAATTGCAAACCTATGAGTGTGTTATTTGTTGAAATTTTGAAATTATGAAGTAAGCCATTTGTGAATAATTTGCTATATGAGTATTTTTCTTTCCATTAACATCTTTGTTTATTTCAGAATGTGTTACATGGCTAAATTTTGACTTGTTTCAATTCGTTAGTTTTAAAGTTTAATCGTCATTTACACTGTCATAGTATTTTTATTTCCTTTTTCTGTTATTAATATAAAAAATGTTTTTCTGCAATGAAGATACACTCATCAGTATGTCGTGCAAGTTCGGCAAACATCGTCATTTTCCGTATCTGATACGATTAGTTTTTTTAACGAACGCTTATTATATTTTTATCTTTACGTAACGTGATGAAGTTTACCAGAATTTTACGAATTTATAATGGATGTTTTATGAAAAGAACATGTTCGGAACTGGTGTTTCAGGGGCGGCATGGTCATGGTGGTGGTATAGGGGCTGCGCTGGGTCAATTTGCAGGGGCACTTTTTAATGAATTTAGCGGCGGCCATCAACGACCTCCTCACAAGCATCATCCACCCCATCAACATCCACCACCCGTATGTGAAGTATTGAAAAAAGCAACCCACATTTAAACTCCTTTTTTGAACTAATATGCCTTCCGCTTATTTACGCTTAAAACCTGTATAATCAAATAGTATGTTTCATTTATTTATTAAATTGTGGCCACCATATTCTAGTTTTGAAATAAATTATATATATATATATATATAATTTTAGGGGGCAGGGGACATATTCGAACAATGACCCCAGTCAACTTTATTTACATAGACATTGTAATGTAAAGGCATTGACAATTTTCGATATTTATCTGTCAGTGTAATTCCTTCTTTGTTTGTGTGTAGAAAATGATCAGTTATTTGGAGTATTAACCTGAAACCAATCATTTTGTTAGCTTTGTTTGTATTCATGACTCTTCAGATGGAAGTTAGAAAGTTGAACATCAAGCATTGACAGTTGTTGCCGAACAAGAAACTTCGAATAAATTATGTGAAAAATCTAAACATATGACTGACAGTTAATTGGGCATTTTTAAAATTGCCATTGATTGCACTGTATGATAGTGATATTTTCAAAGGAATCGGGCTTATTCTGGAGTATATCTTGCACCTTAATGAAGATGGTCCATATTGGTTTATTTCAAGTGTGATTGTTGCGGTGCGGTAAAACGTAAATTTCTGCCAGTCTTTATTTTTGAGCAATGCAGATTGTAATTTTCTTCAAGTCATAAAACCTTGCATAATGCTGTGCAACTGGTTATCTGCGGGTTTACAAGCTTTTGAGATATTTGGAATATTTTGGCCAAACTGAACTTCAGCATTACTCCTTTTTAGATTCCCTGTCCCACCCCATGAATGTACATGTAACTTCAATTTCGATATGCCGGCCATTACCACGTAAGCTTTTCACGTAAGCCTTTTGCCTTTTTTTGCAATGATTGTACATATTGCCTTGCCTTGCTTTGAATTTCCAAAAATATTCATTGCTCCTTGAAACAAACAAAATATAAATAACGTAAAAAGACTGTCAAACTACTCAGTTGTGCCGGCTGGCACGGCTCTTTACAGGTAGCACTGGCAAAGCATTATCTTCAACAGCTTTATATCATTTTCAGATTTGTTAAATGTGGCTTTTTCAATACTTCATAGAGAAATATACTTAACGCTAGTATGTATTTGTTATTTTTAAGCGTATTTTGCATAGAAATTAGTAAGCTCTGATTAAAATGATGTCAGACTTACGAAACTGTTTTAAACGTTTTCCTTAGTAATTACAAAACAAATCTCTGTCCGTACCAATTTACGGCTTGTTCTTTAAAAAAAAAAAATCGCAAGTGCAAATGCTCTCAAAATTTAAAGCTGGAATATATTTCTACTATAACAATTAGCAACAAAAATGATAAACTAAGCGGAACGAAAATATAAAACGAAAAGAGGAAGAAAAAGAAAAACAAAACAGGGAAGCACCCTATTATGTAAAAAGGCGTTAAGTATTTTTCATATTCTAAAACTGCAAGTATAAAATACTTGTCTAACGCATTGTTGCACCGTTATATGTCGCAACGATGCTGAATGCCGTACTTGCCGCTAAATGTCGCACTTTTGACGCTATATGTCACAACCATCTCTAAATGTCTCAAAACATTTTGCCGTTAAATGTCGCAAAACTACCGTTAAATGTCGCACTATTTTCCTTTATCGTTAAATGTCATAACACTACCGTTAAATATCGCAATATCTTAATTCATATTATGTAATAGTTATAGTACTAGTATATGAAACGAGTTTGTTACGAGGATATAACACTGGCTGGGGCTACATCGAGGGGATGTTTCTGCTAAAAAATGTCGAGGCTGTTAGGCGATTTTTTTTGCAGAAACATCGCGAGATGCTACTTCCGAGCTTAGCACTTTCCTATGTATGTAAATAATCTGTTATATCACTCACTGTTGAGTTCATAGACGTAGGGCCATTTGTTATGTTTCCGGGTATGGTGCAATGGTATTGAATTGACGGACTCCTGTGTGATTTGAAATAACGTTTACTGTGTGTCATAAAAAAGTGTTTCTTCTATGCACCTATCGTACTGATAACTTTTCCATCTGGCAAAAATATAACATGAAAGTTTAAAGGCATATGCTACAGTTTCATATAGACATAAAGGCAGATTGAAAACTGTATCATAGAATGCGTTTAAACTTTGAGTGAGCTTAGATCAAATATGACCACTGTTATCAGCATTCCACCTTTACACTGGGACAGAAATGATTTTACCAGTATAACATACATGTATGCCAGTCTGCATATCCGTGCAGACTTAATCGGCACTGTACTTATGGCTGATTCTATTTAGAAATGTCTTTCTAGATATTCCAAGATTGAATAAGCAGTTCTAAATAAAAATGGTAACTTGAAAAGTGAATTAACAAATTCAGCAGGCTAGACAAAACTTGCAAATATGTACATCAGAATTGTCTGCTGCGCGAGTTTATGCAGCCCATCACATTACCTTTCCCCTTACAAGTACATTAAGTCAAATAAAGAAATTACATGGATACTTTGGCAAAAATGCCTCCAGGTTAAATCGTTTATATTTGAAAATAAAGTGTGAAATATATCTCTAATATCTGACGCATATAAAACGTTTTTGAAACGTTCATGTTTTCTAAAATTAGAATAATTCGGCCATAAACATAGAATGAAAAGTAAAAAAAACTGTAAACTCAAAATTTTCCAAAAAAATAAATATGCTCTTACTAATATTTCAAAGCGAACTAAAAAGGACGTTACCTGATATTCCGCTTGGTTTGCATTACTATTGTCGTATATAAACCAATATATTATCTGTTAAATTTAGCCAACTTATCAATTACGATAAGAATATGGTATATTTTAAAGTCTGCCCTTTTTCAAAGGGCGGACACTTCTTTGTCCCCTTCTCGAATGAGAAGGGGAATCCTGTGATGCGTGTATGTGGTCGCACGGTCACTTTCCTTACATATCCTCGATGCATGTATGTGGTCGCATGGTCGAAAATTTCTAATGAAATAACAACGCTTTTTAAAGTGTTTTGGTACGGCCTCGTATGATGCAAAATCTTAATGTTCTTAAAAAAAATATTTTGAAATCGTAATTAGGAGTTTAAAAATCCTAATTAGGAGTTTAAATGCCTAATAAGGACTTTTAGATTTAGAGCTATAAAAGCCTAATTAGGACTCTCATTCTTCTAAATATGAGAGATAAAAATCCTTAATACTATTTGTTCTTACCAGGTACAAGTTAAGAACATATTATGTTCGGGGATATAATAACACATTCACTCTTAAAATAAATAAGAAGTTTTAAATGTTTAATTAGGAGAATTTAAAATATTATTAGGAGTTGTGAAATAAAATCTTAATCTTAAGAAGCTTCAAAAACCTAAATATAAAATGATAACCTAATTTGAACTGTGTACCTTCTAATTAGGTTTTCTTTATGCTTCGAACAAATCAGAAGTTTTTTTCCTAAAAAGCTATTAAATATTTCAATGAGGACATGTATAGTCCTAATTAGTTTTGAGACAAGGGTTTAAGTTTTTTTTATCGATTTTAAAACTTCTTTTTACGATTTCAATATTGTTTAAGAACATTAAGACTTTGCACCAGATGGTTCCGTTCCAAAACACCTTTGATAACGTTGTCGTTTCTCTTAGAGATTTTTGACTATGCATCGATGACATGAAAGGAAAGTAACAGTGCGACAACAATACACGAGGAAGGGACAAATTGTTGTCCGTCCTTTTTATGCCATCAGCTTATTGTTACTGATAATGAGGTTTATTTTAACATGTATGTCTTGGATTGGTTTATATACAACAATAGTAACGCAAACCAAGCGGGAAATCAGTTTATGTCTTTTAAAATCCGCGATGAAATTTTAAAAAAGTAAATGATGTTTTTTTTCTTTCTTTTTTTTACATTTTGCATTTTACGGAATTATTTTAATATTGCAAAACATTAACATTTTAATTAAGTATAATATATTTCACACTTTGTATTCAAATATTAACCTGGGAGCATTTTTGCCTTAGTACGCATTTAATATTCGACTTATTCTTCTAGTAATAAAAAGATAATGTGATGGGTTGCAAGAAAAAAAGATTAAACTTGGGTTGTTATGAAAAACGTATACAAATTTGTTTAATCAATAGGGGCCTCTTGGTATATTAATTCTGGTCGTCTATTTATAATACCGACTAGGATGACTTCAATTTCAACCAATAACTTTGTACATCACAACAAATCATTTCCTATTTTATAAATAGCTACTCACCAGATCATCCACACGACGCTAATATTGACTTGATACCATATCTTATACATGCAATTAGATATTGCGACATTGAACGGTAGTGCTGTGACATTTAACGGTAAGGGAAAGTAATGCGACATTTAACGTCATCATGGCGACATCTACGGCAAAAAAACTGGCGGTTGCGACATTTAGCGGCAACAGTGTGACACATTTAGTGACAGTTAGCATCGTTGCGGCATTTAACGGCGCAACGCGCATATTTGTTTATTTGATAGATCCCTAATTTTCGTTTCAGCATGGTGGAAGTGGTGGCTACCCGACATCTGGAGGGGCCAGTTATCCATACCCCGGGGGCGGCCCAATATACAACCCGGTAAGTAACCAGCATTTACTTTATTTGACATTACATAGAAAAGGTTCGTTTGTGCATCTGTTATTATCATTATATTGATTTGCATTAACTTTTAGGTTTAATCATTTTGATTCATAGTTGTTCTATTGGCGGCACATTGGTCCTTTCCTCTAGTATACACACGTTAGAGCATAAGTTTTCTTTATTATATTTGTCCTTTAAAAAGTGTATACAATTTCGTTGTTTCTTTGCATTTTTCAAATTTTTGTCATTCCGTTTATTTTCTTTAATGATGTATACCATTTCGTTGTTTCTTTCAAAATTTTCGAAATTTTGTCTCTAACATGTTCTTTCCGTTTATTTTTCAGCCGGTACCATTCGTTACGGGTATGGGAGGCATCTATCCGAACAAGATGATCTTCATCAGCGGAGTGCCAAATCCAAATCCAAGCAGGTAAAATGACGTGGTTACTTCATTTAAATAATGAGCTATATACCTAAAAAGTGACAGAACTTACATTTTAATGGCACAGTATATAAATAACAAGTCATTCAGATTTTATTTCAAAGAATGAATTTATCGAGTCTGTTTTGGCCTGAATATATATAAAAAAATTAACTTTATTCAATTGTCTTTATTTTGATTTTCACTAAAATTTCATTAACTCTACTTATTACAAATAAGAATCTTACATTTATTGGCAATTACGATTACATATTCATTATTATAAACATTAAGCAGTATTTCGTCTACATTCGGTAAACCCCGTTATTTTCAGTCAAAATTTGTCTTGCCCCTTGCGACTAAAGTTTATAATGTTACGTAACTTGACAAAAATTGCCGAATTTTCACGAGAATACGATAAATGTTTTGACTTAAGCGAACATTAAATAAGTCAATGCTTCAGGTGCACACGGAGATCACGGTGGCGGTTTTACGGTTGTTTAGGGTCATATAGGATTATTCATGATGCAGCTTTCTTATAGTGTAGGTTTTATACAGCTAGTTTACATATGAAATTCGCGAATATACTTCATATCAACATGGACAAGGTTGCCAAGGAACAACAAATCCCAGATATTTTTTGTTGTTTTGTACCTTGACAGTTCAGTTTTAAATCAAAATCATACTGTGATATTGACATTTAGATAGTTGGCTGTAAAAAACAACGGCTGGGTACATTTTTAAGGTTTCTGATTGTCGCAAATAATTTTATGACAAAGACACTGCACTCAAGCTTCCAACTAAAGATAGAAAACTGTCGGACGCTAAAAGGACTGTTAAAAGTTTTATCAGTTCAATTTCTTTTGATTTATACGAGTTTATATAGATACGGAATAACCTGTATAGGGTAGCCTTCTATAGACACTGCACTCAAGCTTCCAACTAAAGATAGAAAACTGTCGGATGCTATATGTATAGTTAAAAGTTTTCTCAGTTCAATTTCTTTTGATTTATATGAGTTTATATAGATACAGAATAACCTGTATAGTGTAGCCTACATAGGCCGATAACAGTATCAATTCTACCTGAAGTAATACTTTACTATTAATCTACCCTACGCAGTATTACATCTGCAAGCAACAAGCAAATACTTTGTTTCCGAAAGGGTGTTACTATGTAGAGGTTTCACTGTATTTTATTTATAAATAGCTCGCACAATTTCGACCATTGTCGTCACTTTTCCTATTTGCATTTCTATGTAAGAAGCGTTTGGTTGGTAAGATTCTTTTTTGTTGCTCCTTGTCATGTAGCCGTTTATTAAATTTGTATTGTATCATAGTTTGGAGACCTTTCTGTTGAAAATGTGTCAGGGTTAAATCGTATACATATACATGCACAGTGCGTTAACTGGAGTGCGGGTATTAGTTACCCGCACTCCAGAGCATGCCCATTGATTTGCTCATTTTTGCTGGGGTTTACATATTGTGACGGCAGAGAAAGGGAAAGCGACAGAAATATCATATTCAGATGTTCGTTCATTGGTTCATTTTTGCCGGGGTTTCATATTGTGACAACAGGGAACGTGTTTTTATGTTTGACTATGATACAAAAGAGAAAGAACACCAAAGCACTCGGCAATCTGATTTATACTCGGGGGCTACGCCCCCTCGTACAAATCAGATAGCCTCGTGTTTCGGTGCTCTTTCTATTACTTGTATACGTAAAGTGACGGAATATGCCGAATTTTAACGAATTGATATTGGCATGCTGCATGTTTGTCAAAGGTTCTCAATCAACTTACAATGCGGATATGGCGACATTGCTCTTCACTTTGATGTTCGTTTTAACTTCGGAAGCGACAGAAATGTTATCGTCAGAAACAGCCAACTTACGAATTCTTGGGGTCCGGAAGAAAGAACGCTGCCCTGCGGTTATTTCCCCTTTCAACCAAATATGTATTTTGAAGCGATTGTTCTTGTCGAGCCATACTGTTTTAAGGTAGTATGAAGTCTGCACGGAGTTCGCGTGTTCGTATGTTTAATTGCACTTATCGCTTGCTTGTTTGTTTTATATAACCAGCGTATACCTGCTAACACATGTTTGCAATGCTTATGTTTTAATATTTTAACTATAAATAGCTCGTAAGAATTCCGCTAACATCAGAACTTTTCATACCCATTATGTATCGCGAATAAAAAATATGTTAGTTTTGGTCGCTTAAGCTCTTTGTTGCTCACGGAAAGCTTACGGAAAGTTCTGAAACATGCCGATTTTATTAGGGTATGCGATGGTTGCGTATACAACACATGATTTATGCTTTTTTCATCAGTAGTTGGTATCCCGAGACATAGAACAGGAATTCAGTCGCCGATAGTTTTGAAAATTGCATAGTATAACTTATTAATACTGAAAAATCAAACGATTTCCAGAACCTTTTTATTTATTTAAGAAACCTACGTGTCAATTTTGATAAAAGAACGCTTTTGAAATCCTGTTCTACTCTTGGAGTTCATCCGAATTTCATTGTCTCACCTGATAGGGAGAGGGATGTTAGATAGGTATCAACACAACTTGATGTTTACTGCATTCCAATCGTCAACTTCTGCATTTTCTTTTTTCGTGTTGTAAGAACTATAAAGTCAGAATTGTGATAGTTATGCAGTGCTTTAATATGTTTTCCTAGAAAAATCGGAGGCATTTTTTCGAAACTTGGTTAACAATATTTGATGTCTAACGACTAGCATTTACTTTTTGATATTCAAAAATATATCTGGCAATGTTTAAGATAGTAAGAAATCGTGGACAGTCCGGTAGTGAAAGGTTTAGTTGCCATTTATATTGATATTGTTTATGAAATTTATTAACCATAATAAGATATCTGAAATTCTGATCCTGATTTTTGACCGATCCTGGTTTTATATTTTCTTGTAAACACGAATTTCATTTTAATTTCTTAGAGCATATACTGGATGTAACGGCGATTGTTACGGGAATTATCCATGATACTTCAAATTGCGTAGTTTAGTGCTTGCATAACCCTTGTTCATATGTATCTTAAATTCCCAAACTCATAGCATGATTAGCGACTCAACGTGGAATGAATGCACGAGATTTTCGTTCCAGATTTACAGTGTACCTTCAGCAGGGAAGTCAGCACGAGCCTCACCATATCGGAATGTGCTTTGATGCTAGATTTAATTACGGCAATGACCGGAATGTTGTCGTAAGGAATCACAAACAAGGGAACTGGGGTCAAGAAGAGAGGCACGTGACCCATTTTCCATTCATGCCAAATGGAAACTTTGAGATGATCATTTTGATTGAGCCACATTGCTACAAGGTAGATAACCAAATAATTTCCCCACAAAAGATAAAACAAAAGACAGAAAGAAAGAACAAAAACATGTATCCGCAACATCTCCACACAAACCACTTAGGTCTTTGTGTCCGAAAGATATATACATTGTAAAATTAATATTTCCGGTTTGATGCATAAAGTAGTTCACGGGAGAATTATAAATGAATTTAAAATATAAAATATATAAAGACTTTTTGTCCGATAGCTTATGTATCTTTTGTGCAGCATTACCTTTTGGTCTTCCCAAATCGTGACCCTTTGGATATAAATACCCAACTATTTTGATCATTTCATTGTGTGTTTTTTTTTTTTACCTTTTTTGGGTCCATCTTTGCTCTCTGCTGATTAACTATGTCTGTTTTAAAAGAAGTCACGCTTTTTCTGTTTCAAAGCAAAATCACGCTTTTTGTTTTTTAAGCAAAGTCACGCTTGGGTTGGAAATTTCAAAGCAAATTACGCTTTTTTAAACACCCAAGGGCTTTCAAAAGTTTTTTTTTTTTTTATTTTGAAATGATTTTTTCCCGGGGGAAAAACCGTTAACAAATGCAAGTTTTTTATTTTTTGTAGAGCTTTATAATGTAAACAAAAGTTGTTAAAACGACGATAAAATTGGGAGATAAATTTATTTTGTTGATTTTAAAAAAACCCTTTTTAAATTTGGGCATAAATTTAAAATTTTGGCATGAACTTTTTTTTTTAAAAATTTTTATTTTCCTTTATTTTTTCTTAAATAGAACAAAAAAAAAAAGTAAAAAAAACTAGCTAACTTTGCATTAAAGGGTTTTAAATATTTAGAAAATACAATTCATAGTTTTTTGCTTTAAATTTAATTTTATTTAAAAATTTTACACTGGGGAACTGTATGACAAAATGAATATTTGATATTAAAATATACTTTTTTTGTTACAAGCTCTTGCTGCGCATACTGATGTACTTTAATCTCTCATTTAATTATTGTTTTAAAAAATGTTGAACTTAAGCCTTTCTTTAATTGATTTTTTTTTATAGAATACTATAATAATTGTGTTTTTTAAGTAGGGCCACATGAAATAATATATCTAAATAATTTTAGGTCAAATCTGGGTATTATATTGGTGACATTTCTATGGAAAATTATGTGCATTATTATTTTACCCGATATTTTCAAAATACTGTGTCGAAAAACTATTGTTATTACTTACTTACAACACCATTTTGTAAGAAGTAATGTAAGTAGATTGTAAGTAATAAGTTTCAATAATTTTAATTTAGTAAATGATTTCCTTTTTATGACAATAACATGTTGAAACCGAAACTACCAAGATTTTTACCATCTATTTAAGGTCAAGCCAATTTAACTTCGAATCCTACTAGGGACACAGATGCTGTGTTTTAACTCTACCTGAATTTTGAGCTTGATTAATGAAAAGATATGTATGTATCACAATGTTGAAAAAGATGTTTGTTTGTTTTCCTTAAAAAATATTAATTTCTGGTTTCAGGTGGCGGTGAATAATCAGCATTTACTCGAGTTTAACCATCGAGTACGTCAGCTGAACCTGATTGACACTCTCCGCATTGACGGTGACTTGAGGCTTACCCAGGTTCGATTCCAGGGCTAAATGCGACTCGTACCGCATCCAGTGTCAGATGCTGACAATTTTTATAAGCGTTTTTGATGAATTAATGTGACACTATGTGAAACTTTTTCAATCTGTTAATTTTTCTTAAATAAGTATGTTCTAAAAAAGAGTGCTTTTATTTTCTTTTTTCTTTTCATTTTAGCTTTAAAATTGCGAATTTGAGTTTTGATATGCTGGCTTCATATATAATAAGTGTTGATAATTGTTTGAGTATTCCAAGAATTACACCAAATTGATTTTATGTTGTCTAGGAAAAAAATCATGAGATATTTATAATATTCAAACTTTAAACAGAACTTTCGATATTGATTATTGTTAAACAGTTACCACACACATGTTTAAGTAAAAATCTTCGGGAAATCATTTGTTCGGTGACTGTCAAATATTTTGTACGTTTGAATTTGACAAGATGCTACAGAAAGTAGGCCACACCAGTATTTTTTCTTTCATGGAGTTAAGGATTCACAAAAGTCTGTGCAATAAAAGATTTTTTTACAGTTTTTGTGTTGTTGTTTTATGCCCCTTATAGGGATGAAGGTCATATTGTTTACCCATTGTTTGTCCGTCCCTCTGTCCTATTTTCACTCTGTCCGTCCGTACACTGACTTAGCAGCGAAATAAGGTGTACATGTATCTGTATGATATAAGCAATTCATACAATGACTGAACATGTTTTCCACGATTCTGTAGTATAGATATACGTCTAATGATAGGCCATGCCTTATGATAGGCCATGTTTTATGATAGGCCATGTCTTATGATAGGCCATGTCTAATGATAGGCCATGCCTTATGATAGGACATGACTTATGATATGACATGACTTATGATAGGACATGACTTATGATAGTCCATGACTTATGATAGGCCATGTCTTATGATAGGCCATGACTTATGATAGGACATGACTTATGATAGTCCATGACTTATGATAGGACATGACTTATGATAGGACATGACTTATGATAGGACATGCCTTATGATAGGCCATGACTTATGATAGGCCATGTTTTATGATAGGCCATGCCTTATGATAGGCCATGTCTTATGATAGGCCATGTTTTATGATAGGCCATGCCTTATGATAGGCCATGACTTATGATAGGCCATGACTTATGAAAGGCCATGTCTTATGATAGTCCATGACTTATGATAGGCCATGACTTATGATAGTCCATGACTTATGATAGGACATGACTTATGATAGGCCATGTCTTATGATAGTCCATGACTTATGATAGGCCATGACTTATGATAGGCCATGTCTTATGATAGTCCATGACTTATGATAGGCCATGACTTATGATAGGCCATGTCTTATGATAGTCCATGACTTATGATAGGCCATGATTTATGATAGTCCATGACTTATGATAGAACATGACTTATGATAGTCCATGACTTATGATAGGCCATGACTTATGATAGGCCATGACTTATGATAGTCCATGACTTATGATAGGACATGACTTATGATACCCTCGAGTCACCAGTTTTCGTTATGTTAAGCGCATTGACGCGGACAATAATTTAATGACAACAAAAAACAATTTTCAAACTGTTCATAAATCAAAATATATCTTACCTCTATATATCCAACAAAAGGGAAACAACTTTGAACTTTGAACTTTTATTTTCAAATTCTAGGCCTCTGAGAGGCATCAGAATACAACATATTAAACATGAACAAATGACGTAATACAAATTTGCTATATAACATGAACAAATGACATGATACAAATTTGCTATGACTAGATAAACAGAAAATTATCATATCAGACTAAATTTGAAAAATATCAGACAAAATTTGAGCAATATCAGACACTGAGCCATTTCTAACACATAGGAAAATTTGCTATATAACATGAACAAATGACCTGATACAAATTTGCTATGACTAGATAAACAGAAAATTATCATATCAGACTAAATTTGAGCAATATCAGACAAAATTTGAGCAATATCAGACACTGAGCCATTCCTAACACATAGGTGATAAAAATACATGTTAGTCTTAAGAAACATAATATTATACTACACAATACTATTTACTATCAAAATGTATACATATATTACACAACCTCGTTTATCATTTGAAAACATGCATTACTTTCCTGCAATAAACAGCAAGTTTAACAAGCTCGTTTTTGTCTGTACTATTCATTAGCAATGAATATTTCAAAGTATTAGGATTACTAGTATATCTTACTGAAATATATTTACGACGCTCCTGCTTAAAAAAGTCACACACAAACAGGTAATGAAATTCATCCCCTAAAGAGTTTGTATTACATAAATGACATGTTCTTTCATCTCTCGGGAGTACCAAAGAATCTCCCCTTTTCTATAGGTAATCTATGGTTCGTACATCTGAACTTTAAAATAGCATTAGACAAATGGTAAGGCAAAGTATCTAGATAATTTTCAAAAACAAAGGAATCTTTGTACATTCTGTAATTAGGGCTTTTACTGGACTCAGCCACAAAACTATGCCATTGTTGTAAATATTGATCTCTCAATCTAGTTTTAACAATGTTCTTGAACAATTGCTGTGAAGAAGGTATATTATACATCCAGTAATTTGACATGCCCAGAGAGTCCAATAAATTGTGTACATAATTGATCCAAGGTAGTTTTTACATTGTTATCATCACTATACAACTTATAAGAAACATTATACAATATATGACATATTTTCTCAGGTTTAGCATTTAAAATTCTATTCCCAGTAACATAAAATATGAGCCTTAACATGAATAGACAAAGGTAGCACCCCTAGTTCACCATATATAGCATACAATTAGGAGTGCTTTGTTTTAACCGAAGAATAAGTTTATAGAATTTTAACTGAAATTGATCTATCAAGTCTAAATTTTCATTTCCCCACACTTCACTTCCATATAACAAAATGGGTGCTACCATTGTATCAAACAAATGTATTTGCATACTAATAGGCAGGTTCAGCCTTCTAGACTTTACTATTACAGAGAACATTGCTTTTCTAGCTTGTTGTAACAAGTATTTCTTTTGTTTTAGTAAATTTACCATTATACGAAAACTTTACGCCAAGATATGAAAAAGAGTCGACTACTTCTAACATATTACCTTCAAAAATGAAATTAGGAGCATTACGAATACCACGTACATTTTTACAAATACAAACAATTTTAGTTTTTGCAGGATTAACTTGGAGACCTCCACATATTACAGTAACTACTCATTGCATCAAGTGCCTTTTGCAATTCATCTGCAGTTTCAGCAAAAATTACAGTGTCATCAGCATAAAGTAGTATGTACAATTTAAAATAAACCTCAACATCGAAGTTACTCAGAGTATCATTTACTACTGAAGATAATGAAACTAGACCATTATAATGTTGTGACAAAAACTGGTTTAAATCATTCAAAAAACAAAGAAAATAGAACAGGCGAAAGATTTTCACCCTTGCCTAACACCTGTATGACTTGTGAAAAAAATCTGACATTTTACTAAAGGAGTCACCTGAACACAAGATTTAGCTTTTTTATACATATCATATATTATTTTTATACATTTACCATCAACATTATTACTTACAAATTTTTGCCAGAGTGCAGTTCTATTAATGCTATCAAAGGCTTTTCCTGTAGTCAATAAATGAACAATACAGTTTTTTACCTTTAGACAAATACAGATCAATTAACATTTTTAAGGAAAAGATGTGATTTGTTGTACTATAATTCTTTCTGAATCCAGCTTGCTCTTCACACAAATATATTATTATTTCTCTAAAAATTATTGAGTCTAGTATTAAGAACATTCGTTAAAAGTTTACCAAAACAGCTCAAAATTGTAATACCACGATAATTGTCTGGATCAGAAAAACATCACCTTATTCTTATATATTGGCAAAATAATACCCTTACTCCATACTCAGGAAATATTCCCGAGTCTAAAATGATGTTAAACAAATTAGCAAAAAAAATTTCATACATATTATCTGGTGCATATTTCAAATACTCGTTTAACACATCATCAAATGAAGATGAAGCTTTGTTGTTTTTAAGTAAACGAATGCGATCTTCTAATTTCCTCTACTGTAAAAGGTTTGTCTAAATCCTATATTATTCGCAGATACATTTGAAACATTGAAATCATCTGGTGCGTCATTCGCTATATTTTCATTCAACTTACTAAAATGTTCATGGAACGCTTCAGTGGCAATATTATTAACAATTTCTTTTTTATTGTTACTGTATTTGTTTGAAACATGCTCCAATACGCCTTTGGGTCTTTGTTTTTCAGCCCTTTAATTTTGTCAACAATTGCCCTCTGAAAATTCCTTAACTTTTATTAAGTTCTTTCTTATATTTTCTGCTAGTATTAACTAATATTTCTCTATTTCTTTTGGAAGGGTTTTTACGAAAAATATTTTACACTTGTGTAATCGACGGTCTATGCATCTCTATCAAACAAGTATTGATGGCGTTTCTATGTTTAGCGAATAACATGCAACTTTTTCCTTAGAACATTTACTAAACTTTAGCAGCATCTTTTTAAATCTATTTACCTTCTCTCACAGTTAACCTGCATACCAGTTCATCGCTACTACTGTTGACTACCAAAACATCCTTAAGTACATTCTAACAGGTAGAACACAACAATTCCGGTCAAATCTACTCTAACATCGATAATTTTGCCTCGTTAATATGGTTTACCGGAGCACTATCGCACTTCTTCGTGTTAATATCCAATACCTGCATGTAATATCCATAATCTTGTATAGGATAACCAATTAGACCACAAACTCCTTATGCACCATATCGTACTGAATCCGAATCAAATTTGTACACTATGTTAATACAAGAAAACAAATTCCCTGACAACACGTGTAACCTCAATAATAAACTTGCTCGCCTTTATACGAAGTATGTTTACCAATATACGCATTCAGCTCCACACCTTCATTGGCGATAAAAATATTCAACGCCTTACATAGGTGAGTAAGTCTATAACCAAAATTATTGCATTTTCTATCCATGGAAAAAACGTTCTATAGGAAAACCTAGATCGCTTAAATTATTTAACACCATCTGTTGCACAGTAATATCATCAAAATTATCATCCGAGATATATTTATCATAGACAGTGGAATCGGTAAGAACTCCCGATCTCGCATTGAGGTCACCAACTATACAAAACTGACAATTAGCATATTTAACACTTAAATCAAGAATGGTATTTTCTAAACTATCAAAAGGTCAAGTAGATGATCCATACCTAGATCCTTCAGGTGGTATATAGGTATTGATAAATATTATATTAGATACATTGCATTTCAGGAATAAAAAAATTTCTGTGCTACAATCTAACAGAGTACATTTTCATTTGCATACAATTATTTCTTAAATTATAACCAAATTCCAACAACCCCGCGGACCCTTATTCTTCACTTCTCCGTCCTGTATTGTGTTAGCAGAAAGTCATATCCCTTGAAAAACAGCCTTTGTATCCTGAA